CTTTAGCACCCGCGAGAGGCGTCCTCCTTTACATAGCAATATATTTCACTCTCCCTGTGTCCTTTACTTTGGCATTTTTCTTACCCTGTCGACCCACAATGAATCTCTTGTTTAAAACGTAATGATAGAAAAGTCCCGCAAATATTGATCGGCCGCCTCAGCTCATTATTGCATATCCATAACTTTTCGACGGATCGAGTCAAAACCCAGCGATAGACTGACAGGCCATTTTGTGAGTTGATGGTGCACAGTAGCCGAAATGGAGATTTAGCATAGGGACGAGGGCCGTGTCACGCCTCTCCGGCAGTCATCTTCACCGGGGACAGATTGGTTAACAATGCGGGAGCAAAGGGTCCTCTCTGCTTAATTAGCCTTTGACCCCGACACTGATGCCTTCTGTCAGCCTTCGTCGGTCCTCCTCTTCTCTTCAGCTCCGTGGCAAACCGATAATGAGCATTGAAGTGTTTTCTGACCCCCCGTAATGACTGCTTAAGAGACTGCATCGCTTTGAACAATTGTCTCAGCGGCTCGCCGTCGGAGACGAGAATGAGAAATATGTGGAAGATTTAACCGCACGCACAATAAAACGAATAGTCTTTATTCATGATAATTCAGTTTCTATGATTTGACTCTTTACTTGGTTCCCTGATGAAGAGGTTTGATGTGGCTTGAAATTACTGGTAGCTCAGGTTTCACCACCACGAGCAGCGGTCGCAGTACTGTGTTGGAACTTGTAGTACTTTTCTTACCAGCAGCAGCAGTATTCATTATCATAGAACCTCTGGCTTAAGCATTGAATCCTCAAAGACATACTACATTTTCAAAGTTACAGTATTTCCAACCATGTCTCCGAGAACGTCTCATGTATTAGAGATGAAACGGGATGAACATTTTTTTAAATTTTAAGTTTTATATCGACATAAAATATATTATCCATAAAAATGATGATAGTATTTTCATTATTTATCGAAGCTCGATAACTTGTTACGTTAAGTGCAGACCTCGGCTCAGACGATTGTTGAGATGAGTCAACAACTACTTTATGTATTAAACTTTCCATTTTTATTAGTCCATTATTTGCTAATCAAAGTCCTTCTCGTTTTTTATCGACTACTCTCTGTTTCCCTGCTCTGGATCCCTCCGCTGTACAAAAAGGTTTCACCTTGTAGACATTTAAAATCATCACAGAAGACTTGCTGAATTAAGACTCACCCAGAAAAGGTGAGATAAAATCAGTGATTTGAAACTTAGGGTGAAGGTCTGCGGAGTGAACATCAGCTGTGTGACGCGAGCCTCCACCGTTCACTGCTCAGTATTTAAAGCCTTCCTGCCTCGTGTCTGCTCTTTGACTGAGTTTTCTGGGCCATTAAGCCCTGCTGCTGTTCTGATGATGAGGAGGTAGACGCCCATATCGTTCGCGGAGAGGGGAGCGTCCATCTCTACAAGGGTCGTCCTCAGTTGGACACACATGGGACCCTCTCAAACTGGCCAGGGATGATTTTTTTTTTTTTGGACACAGCTCGTATCATTTTAATGGGAGCAATTTAATCCCAGGCCAACCTTGTCCTGTGACAGGCAACTCTTCATTCTTGGGAGTGAATTTTAGTTCCCTTGATAAAAGCCTGCACTAAGTGCTCCTGTCCCTGCACAGTGCTGACGCATGTTTAAGGTAACATGCAGTCTGTGACTTCTGCAGATTCATACTCTGCAAAATGTAGTAAACTTGAAGCTGCAGAAAAACATTTAACGCTTCAATACAAATGATCTGCCAGTGCCTGCATTTGTGTTTTTTCTTACTTTGATGCTTCATATCTCTAAAAAAATCTGTGCAACCTCAGCTAAAGTTGAATCAATTAATACTCAACCAGACTTTTTTCATTGAATTTTGCAAAATAAACACAAAACTAAAGATAACTAAATATAGAAACATGAACAAAATATACAAACACTCGCTATTTGAACTATGTTAATGAGTTTTTGCTGCTAAAAGGATTAATGTTCGGACTTTAAGGGTTTTTCTTTAAGATCAATTAAAACATTAGTAGTTAGTGACAACATGAAGTGTGTTGATGGTAAATGATTGTCACTGTTAGTTGTCATGACAGTAAATCATTTTACTGAGCTTTAGTTGGTGTCAAATATTCTACAAACTCACAAAATGTGTGTGTGTGTGTGAGAAAGGGAGAGAGAGCGAGTGTGTGTGTTTACTTAAGTGTTATCTACCCCCATGACCCTTGTGTACGGTGGATGAGTGTAGAGTATGAAACCCACAGCGAGAGCTTATCCCCGGTGGATCAGACTGAATTACCATCTCCTCTCACATCTGGGCTTTTGTTCCCGTCTTTGGCAGCAGCAGAAATGATTGCGCCTTCATTCACTCGCTCCCTCCCTCTCTTAACAGGACAAGTGGGAGGTTAAAAAAGCTTCCTTTTGTTATTCCACACAAAGACTGTTTAATAGTTTGGAAATCTTATATAGAGTGCTGAGTGACTGGGGAAAGGGCAAAAGTTCATTCAGGAGAATAAACTCTCTTTCAACATCGCCAGCAGGTAAAGTCGGTCTCGTTACAAACGGTTTTTATTTGTCCACAGCCTGAAGCTCAAATAGATGATTGGGGTTTTACACACAGGCCTCTCGCTTCGTGGTGAGACGTGTGGGGATTTCACTCATTACAACAACACTGTGCTGTCACAGATGAAAAAGGTTCTCGTACCTGAGGAAAGACAGAAAGTTTAGAAGTGGTTTTGTTGTATCTCTAAAAACAAACAGAATAATTAGCAGATGGTAGCTGAACACAGTTTTGTTGCAGGGAGAATTTGTGGACTCTGAGGGACTCGTCTAAAGGACTTTGTTATTGTGGAATTTAAACATGTTGTCGTACAAATGACGATGACACAGAACTGAACAGTTCAACAACTATAATAATTCTA